TGTTGAACGTCTAAATCAGGGGTGTCAAACTCATTTCACATGGTGGGCCACATACGGCCTGGGTAGATGTCAAGTGGGCCGGACCATTAAAATGATACCATACTTTGCTATAAATAACCAAAACAACATGTCTTTCCTTTGTTTTGGTATAAAGAAGCACAAGAACATTAGGAAAATGTTGAAATTAAATGAACATATCTTTTACAAAACATTTCATGAAGCACCTTACATTTCCTTTGACGAATGTGCAATTTACTTTTATCATTCACATATATGCATTGCAACTGATCCCACTGATTGTACAAACTTTAACAAGTAATTGGTTTTGAAAAATATAGTAATGCACTTTAAGATTAAACGAGATTTATAAAGAAAGGAAGTTTTAAACCATTTACACGTGCATATAAAATCTAAATGTAATCCCTGCCTACACCTTACAAACTAAGGAGCGTGCTATTAAATGTGTAAATGTGAGAGTGCTATTGATAGCGTCTGCTGTCACGGGTCTGTCTCAGTGATGGACTGAGGCTGCTGTTGTCTTCTTCTCTGATCAAAACAGTGTCCCCTAGCGGATACTCAATGAATTGCACCTTATTAAAAATATTTATTCTGTGTCTTTTATGCATTTTCTTCACTTTTAAATTATCCTGTGGGGCCTGATTGAACGGCCCGCGGACCGTTTGTTTGACACCACTGCTTTACATAATCATCTCGCGGGCCGGATTAAAGTCCTTTGCGGGCCGAATCCGGCCCGCGGGCCGTACGTTTGACACCCCTGGTCTAAATCGTCCTTCGGTGTGATTGTGAGCGCAAATAGTTTGTCTACATATGGGCTCCCTGAGATTGGCTGGCAACCAGTTCAGGGTGTACCTGCTGCCCCAAAGACGGCCCGTCATAGGCTGCGGCAAGCCCTCATCAGGATAAAGCGGATCCGATAATGGATGGATGGACGGCATTTGTAGTCAAGTGGAAATTCACCAGATGTGATCAGATAATGTTTTGGTGAAGCGGCATGTGGCTCATTGCCCAAGGTTGTTTTTATTCTCTCTTTTCCAAGTAGCTGTCAACCACTCAATATTTATGAGCAAGAGGACACAGATGTCGGGTGTAAGTAGGACAGCAGCTGCCGCACGAGACGGGAGACCTTGTGTGCCGCACGCCGTGCAACCTGTCCTCATGTTGCAGGATTAGATTGATGGATAATTCTTGCTGCAACCCGGAATGACAGAAACCCTTTGCATATTTGAAAGTCCCAAGTGACCGAAGACAGAGTCAGAAGCTAAAGAAGAAGCGAAATATACATGATAAACATTCACCGTTAGCATTTGTGAAAAATATTGTTTGCGCTTATGCTAACGCTAACACAACCTAGGAGAGGTGTCTTGGCTGGTCTGCCAATATTATGATGGAGCACTAGGAGATGCTATTCTCCAGCGTAGCATCGTCAGGAGTTTTAGGATGTTATTCCAATTTTTACATATTGTGCTTTAAATAGTACAAGTTGCTGTCTGATATAAATGAATCTTGAGCCAATGTTCTAATGTTAGCGCTCACGCTAATACCGGCATAACATGAGAAGTGTCCTGGCTGCTCAGCCAATAGCATTCTAGAAATATGCTAATGCTAACACAGCAAGAGAGGTGTTGTCGTTGTTCCAAATGATAGCGCAATAGAAGATGCTATTCTCCTCATTCCAAACAGGCGTAGCGTCTGTGAGATATTAATGCCGTTATTGCAAAGCAAAGTTATTAAATACCATGCTTTCAATTGTATAACTTTCTGCCTAATTCTTGGAGGGAAGTCTGAGCCACTTTCCGGACTTAAAAAGAACCAAACGGAACATCTTTGTTTAGGCTAGCAGCAAAAAGAAGTCAGCTTAGCCCGCGTGAAAGTCTTATTGAAACACCGGATAAATTTTTTTTTTTGTTTTTGCAGGATTAACGTCTGGCGCAAATTATGCTGTTTGAGTGCGGTATGTTATTGTTCTGCGAGGGAAAACAAGCCAACATCAATAATAATTTGAGGAAAAAAAATAAAAAAAGAAAGGAATCCATAAGATGAGCGGCGAACATTTGTTTTTGACCAGACAATTTGGAGCCGTTTGTGGACTCCCATCGCTCTCGCAGCCTAGATACAGGCAAATACACGTCGGAGCGCCAAAACAATGTCTTAATGGACCATCCATCAGCCGCTTCAGATCGCCTGTCTTTGACCCGACGACTCTGGCGAAATTTCACTCATGTTCGGCTGCTTGGCTTCTGAAGACAAATCACAGAGGCTGTCTCCCTGTGATCTATTATCATCTGGACTTGTATCATTGTCTTGTTTGTTTTTTTTCGGGGGCGGGGGCGTTGTTTTTGTTTTTTTTGGAGGCGTTGTTCTTTTTTCTGAACTGTGTGATTTACGGGACTAATGGCCGCTCGTTTAAGTCTCACATTTAGCAACAAAGACAAAACCGTCGAACACAGGAGTCACCAAGGGCCGTCTGAGTCGGCCGCGGTCCTGTTCTAAAAATAGCTCACCTCTGATGCGACAATTGTGATTTCCCAGGATGGTTGTAGTCCTGATCGTTTGAATATGTGAGCACTGACAGATGTTTATAGAAATAAAATCATGCTGGATCATATCGATATTTATCCGATTCCTAATTGTCCTGAAAAAAATAATTCACTTGATCAGTGTCTTCACCTAAATGAATACCTAATTGCTAATTGTGGCATACAGCCCGATCGATGGGGATTTTTCTTTTCGCCTAATGCTGATTCCGATATTGGGCAGAGTAAAATTCCAATTCCCGATGGAATCGGGCGATATATTCAAAACAATCACGCTACACTTACAACAATAACGATTTGAACTGCAGACACACCATTTGACTCTTTTGTACAATACTTTGTCCTTTCATATTTGTTTAACTTTACAGCAGAGAGGAAAATGGAGAAAAGTTGGAGGGCGGGGTCGAACGTCATTTCCCTTGTATTTAGTGTGTTCAAGAATAAATAAAAGTAATCGGCCGATATTTGACGCTGATATTTTGACCAATTTAAAACTACGCACATCGATGAAATAGGTCAGGTGTTGTAACTTGGACACATTTATTATTTCCCAAGCGCATATCAAACCGATAGGCCTTTGCATGAATCCGTTCCCCAGAAGTCGCTGTCGGCTTCAAAAAGTTTGGTGACGCCCGGTCTAACGCTTCACCAGCAGCAGGAAAACCACGTCATCAAAACATCTTAAATTTTGCTCCCGCTTTTACATCAGTAAAGCAAAAATCCTACCGATAACATTCACAATCGAAACTATCATTATGATGATTATTTTTCATGAAAAGTCATATCACACAGTAATAAAATTGCACCAAATATAGAATTCAGTGATTGTCTTTTTTTTTTTTTTTTTTGATGAATAAAAACAGCACATGAGGAACACATGTTCCTCATTAGACAGTAATGATTTATCACAATTTATTTTTTATTTCATTATTTTAATCAGATAAACAACCAATGTGACTTGATCGGGTTTTGGACAAAAAAAAAAATAAAAAAAAGGATTTGTGTTCAATGACAATATTTTAGCAAAGAGTATTTTGGGCCAATGAAGAAAAAAAAAAGTTTATTCTGAGAAATCAGATTTTAGAGCCAAAACTCGGACTTTATTCTCAGAAGTCAGAATTCAGAAATGTTTAAAGTTGACTTTCTTCTCAGAATTTTTACTTTAAAGTCAGAACTCTCACATTCAAGTTAGAATCCGGACTTTAAATTCTGAGAATAAACTTTAAAGTCAGAATTCTGACTTTATTCTCAGAATTCAGACTTTAAGGTCTGAATTCTGAGATAAAAGTGAGAATCTTGCCAACCTTGTTTTTTTTCTTCCTTGGCCCTAATCCTCTTCCATATGATGTATCTGCAGATGTGTTCTTGTTATTATTATTATTAGAATTATTATAAAAATATTTATGTACTTTTATACACCACCACCACCACCACAAATAAACAACAGAAAATACTTTGTTTTTGTTTTTTTTATCTCCCAAAAAAATCTCAGTTTTACTTGACGGTAATGGAAGTCAAAGTGGTCTGCCACTCTTAAGAAAAACACGACAAAACGCGAGCATCGGACAGCAGACCGCGGCGCAGACGTGACGCCGTGCGAAGCCTTTGGAGCAGATGTTGCACTTCATGGAGGTCTGCCTGCTACTTGAAAAGACTGTTGATGTACGCTGACTTAAGCTGCAGAACGAAGCCCCGAGTCCAAATAAGTGCTAATAGCTCATTTGGCGCATACACACACACACACACACACACACACACACACACACACACACACACACACACACACACACACACACACACCACTCAGGTCATTTTTTATGTCACCTAATGACTTTTCATCACTTGTGAGATTCCCTAAAATGTCTTTTGGTATTAATTGTCGCTCACAGAGGGGGATTTTGTTTTGTTTTGTTGTTTTTTTTGTGTCCCTGGAATCACGCCGACTTCCGCAAGGGAGCTGTTGAGGGGCATGTTTTGTTCCTCTGTCAGGCCCGGAATTGAACCTCAAGAAGCAGCCTAAATGTCTGTGGTCAGCAGCACAAAGTAAAGACCATCCTGTCCTCGGGCGAGGACGGGCCAACAACAAAAGCGACAAAACATTTCCGTTGCTTTGACGCGAGGCGAAATGGGATCCTTTCACCTAAGGCCACGGAAGCCCCACATACATGCTGTTTTGTGTGCAGCTCGATATTTTGAGTGGAAAATGCTTTTTGGCGGTACCCATCCACACAATTCTTCCAAAAACATTTGGGTTACTTTTTTTTTTTAATGGCCCGATCATCATGCATTTATTGCCACGGCAACTTTTCCAGCCATGAAGTTTCCACGAGAGGTTACACGTCCGAAGAACGCTTCACACTTTCTTGGCTATCCGAGTGACCTCCTGAAATGACTCGATGTCAAATTTGTTTGCACTGAAAATAACTTTCTCCGTTTCTCTTTCAGGGTGAATTCTGCGCTCAGCATTTGATCTGACCCGATGCGCCGGTCAGGTACGTGCATTTTTATGTGAATATTATTACAGCTTTGTCAATGGGCTTGGGGTTTCACCGAGCTAGCGATTTTCCAAAACCTTCGAGGGACTGAAAGCGCTTTGAAACTGTCTCCTCATTTTACCGACTGATGACGCGGCATCGATAGCAACCGGGGATTCAGTATCCTGCCGCCTGACCCACGCCGCCCCTTTTGTGGCTGAAATTTGTGTACTGTATATTTGGCTAATACGAGTGGCGTCAGTTATTCATGGAGCTTCGCTATTCGAGTTAGCCTGGTCCCTGCCACGAAGAAGAAAAATAAAAATAGCGGTAGCACAAAGAAGAAAAATAAAAAATAGCGGTAAGAAGGAAAAGAGAAGAAAATAATAGAAGAGGTAACAGAAAATGGAGAAACGTAGCGACAATCTGGTGAAAAGTGGGTCGAAGATCGGCCACGTTAACCGGCAGCTGAGGAGAAGTTATGATGTAATTTACATTTCAAAAACCAGAAGCCATTCATTTACGAATGTGATTGCACTTTAGACTTGAATGAGGCAAAATAACATGCTTTTTCTCTCAAATATATTGTTATAATCATTTGTTTCAGATGTACTGTAATTATTTTCCGTATAAAAATTAATTTGGTGTTCAAAAAGTCTTTTTTCAAACTTGAGTCTTGAAAAAGAAGGGGGTCGTCTTATAATCAGGGGCGTCTTATATTCGGGCCAATACGGTATTTATTTGAAAACAAAACAAAACAAAACCGGGTGTGTGTGTGTGTGTGTGTGTGTGTGTGTGTGTGTGTGTGTGTGTGTGTGTGTGTGTGTGTGTGTGTGGTTAACACCGAATGCAGTCAAGCCACAAACACCACAATTTTGATGGAAAATAGTCTGCAGTACAGTAGTTAGCCGATAAGCTAACAGTTAGCTGAGCCTCCTCTTGTATTTCTTCTTCTCTATTCCTATTTTTTTTTTTTTTTTTTTTTTTTTTGGCTGCCCCGTTGCACCCTGCCGCTTCTCACGAGTCAGCCACGGTGCTGCGACAGACGTTACATGTGTGGTTTGCTCTGTCGCTCATCTGGAGTTCTCACACAGGCAGTCAGAACACGATTTTTTTCCCCTCCCCCTCATCAGTCTTCGTGTCTTTCACATCAATGTGTGTATGAACCGTGTATTTAACATTTTGGCCCCCCAAAGTGTCACTTCCTCAATTTAATGTGGGCTCCTTAAATGTAAAACATTCAAAACAAGAAGTTCATCACTCAACATAAAATCATTTGCAAAAATGTGCGATTGAGCCCTTTGTACATTGTCGAGCGCCGACCGCACAACAATTTTTCATGTCGTTTGTGCGTGATTCGTCCTCTGATGGATGAAACACATATTTCCTATATTTGAGATAAAAGAAATGCTATTATTCTTGGTATATAAGAGGCGTTTTACTTGTCAGCGGCAACGTTGGAATCTTTTTTTTTTTAACTATTCTTCATCTGCTGTGTGTCGTTGCTCGCGACAAGCCTTCACATGTGGTTCGCTATTTATTGCAAAAGCCTTGCTGCCTATTTTGTCATCCTAAAGTTGGAGGTGGCAGCTTGAGTGGGAGACATCCTATGTTGCGTAAAATGAAAGCCACAACAAATGCACTTGAAATAGGAATGAAAAGGAAAATTTGATGTGGGAGTAGTTGTGAGCCTGGCCGATCTCAAAGGTTCTTGTTCTCAGGGCCTTCCTACATATGGCGTTTGCATGTTGTACCTGCGCTTCTGTGCGTTCATTTCAGACTTTTTGTTGTCCACAGAGGTTTCAAAAGCATTCGCTCTCTCTTTACTTAACCCTTCCATGCACCCTGTCACCTGATAACATGATAAGCTGTCCACAGTAGTAACCGCTGTCCCTCAAAGGGTTAAGGTCAAGTGCAGATACTAATGCATCCACACATCCATCCATTTTCCGATCTTCTTTATCCTCACAAGGGTCGGGGAGCGGGGTGCTGGAGCCTATCCCAGCCGTCTTCAGGCAGTAGGCAGGGGACACCCTGAACCGGTTGCCAGCCAATCGCAGGGCCCACACAGACGAACAACCACCCCCCCTCACACTCATAATCAGCCTGCCATGCATGTTTTTGGAATGTGGGAGGAAACCGGAGTACCCGGAGAAAACCCACTCAGGCACAGGGAGAACATGCAAACTTCACACAGGAAGCCCGGAGCTGGAATCGAACCCGCCTCTGCACTGTGAGGTCAAAGCGCAACCACTGGCCCCACCGGGCCGCCTAGATACTAATTTTAAAAAAAAAAAGGAAAATGAAATTCATTTTAACTCTGTTATGATTTTTTACCATACTTCTTTTGGAAATTTGCTCCAAGAAAATAATTCTTGGCATGCAAAATCTTGCTATTTTTTTAATGACTCATAAATGTCAACTATGAACCTGGAGCAACAAAACGGAAAAGCATTCAAAGGTGATGACGCTGCCTGGTAGAATCATTGCAATTCTTAATTGTGTGTGTGTTTCTTAATTGTGTGTGTGTGTGTGTGTGTGTGTGTGTGTGTGTGTGTGTGTGTGTGTGTGTGTGTGTGTGTGTCTATGTGTGTGTGTGTGTGTGTGTGTGTGTGTGCATCAGTTCAAATCTTGCAAGAAAATGGCTTAAACAAGCTAAAAAGACCAGAAAATGTTTGTAAAATGAAATTGAATTTTTTTTGCTGCCAAACAAAAAAAACATAACAACAAATTACATTGAAAAACTACAACATAACATCAAATATATATATATATATATATATATATATATATATATTGGTGCAAAAATCAAATATCCACTCATTTTGTTGCACTTTTGAGCAAAGGTTTTACCATTTTTCTACACAGCAGTTGTCCGAAATCTACATGTCCAAAATAATTTGCCTTCACGGAGTTAATCAGAATATCAAAATGACCCTGATTGCATCCTTGGCCTGTCCAGTCGACAGAATCTACCAAAAATCAAGTTGAACGCATTGACTTCTCACAAAAGCGCCATCATGCCTTCTAACAGAATTCCATAGCCCAAGAACAGGATTTTTCCATGTCAGAATGTGTGCTATCGTCAGTATATCTTGCCTGTAAAACGTCAGGGTTATTTATGTCGAACAGCGGCGTTGACTGGATCGAGCGAAGCGCGGCGAGGCAGATTATGACGTGCTGGCATCCCAACACAGCACATCATAAAAGTCCAAACGCTCCCTCGGGACATTACATTTGATACTGTTGCCGGGGTACACTTGAGCATGTTTTTCCCAACGTGTTGCACAACCGATGTAGAATCTGAAACGATACGCTCTCGTCTTGTCCTGGCTCCAAATAAGCCTTGAGTGGTACTGGCAGAGATCGAATCTGTCAACAGTCATTCTTATTTTCACCCTCTACCCTTTTTTTGCTCAGGTTTTGGATTTCCTTATAAACTCCATAAAATGCGGCGATTGTTCCGAAGGAGCAGAAACTGGAAGACTATTTCTCAACGCGTGGGTGGAATTTGGTCTTGAATTCCGGGAAATGCGATCATCCCGATATCACCAAATCCCCGTCATGAATTTCACATGAGATCGGAGTGAGCGACATGAAGGATATCGGACTGGATCGCGCTATTGTCCTGGTGTGGGAATTGCGCGTGTACTTGTCTTCACCAAATAATGCCTCAATGTGAAACAGATGCGCTATTTTTGATTTTTTTTTTTTTTTTTTTTTGATCTCCCATTCAAAATCATCAAATAGCAGCAATCTCCGCTCCTAACCTGCTGGCCTGTTTATGTGTTTTTTGTGTTGTGCAAATGTGTAACCATAAAGGGACAGTATGCGGCATGTACTGCAGAACTGGTGGGAAAGCTTTTGTATTTGAAGGCTTCAACTATAATTAATTAAGAAAAAAAAAAAGGACAAAACAATAGACCGGCCAAGTCATTCCTGGATGTGGCTAAAAAAAAAAAAAAAGTCTGCCAAATAATTTGTTCAAAAGAGTTTATTAGCTCAACTGAACTTTATTTAGAGACCCCTTTTGTAACAAAAAGATTAAAACATTTATTTTTTATTTTTTTAGGGTGCTGGCCACTCTATTTGGCAGAATAAATGATGGCACCATGTAACCTGATCACATGATAAGCTTGTAGTGACCGCCGTCCCTCAAAGAGTTAAAACATCCGTCATGAATAAAAGAACTTCTTTTTGTGGCCCCTCAAAACAATCGATATGAAGTACAGGCGGAACAAGTGACAGTTGTACATGACTCAAGGGCAAACCCTTGAGTATTTGCTTACGGCAAGGGTGTCCAAACTTTTCCATTTGAGGGCCGCATGCAGAAAAATGGAAGGATGAAAGGGCCACTTTAAAATTCATCAACTTTTTGAAATGAATGCAACCAATACCGAATAATGTAGCGGGCCGTCTGCGGCCATACTCTCACAAGAATTTGAAATATGATATTCACGAACGCCTCTCTTTCCTCCAAGCGACTTTATTTTGTTGCAAAAAACCCAGAACTTGAATTTGTGCCATGAAATTGAAAGGGGGCGGGGGGTGCTTAATGTGAGTTCTCTATTCAGGGACCCAAATTATTCCCATGGCCTGTTTTCCCTGCTGATTGCCGTTATGCTCCATTCCCCAAAAGTCGGGTCTCTCAGGTTAGTTTATTATTTATTTGTGTTTGGAAACTGGACGAAGGATCAAGGAAACGAGCAGTTAGGAGACCATTTGCACATCCGGCCGCACCAATCGGAATCTGCGTTCAATCATCTTATTTATCCTCCCATTCGCAGGCCTGACTATGTGGGTGTGTGAGCGTGTCACCGTTCCAGATCGACGCATTGTTTCCAGCGGGAAGGACAAAGACCTTGACTAATCACTGCAAATTGGAGATCAAAGCCGCTAAGGGGCGACATCCAAGACAAATAGGAGCGTAGCGTCACAATGCCGGGAGGTCGGAAGGAAAACCGCATCACTTCTGGGTTGTTTGCAGGTACTCGCGAATGGCGTCAACCGTGTTTTGT